TTTGTCAACACCTCTTGGCAGACGAGATTTTTCATATTCTTCACCCATCCAATCAAACGAATCGTCTTCATTATTATCTAATGAAACATTCAAATAACTCTCGTATTTCTTTAGATTAGGATCAGGCTTCTCTTCCAAAATCTCTTCGGTAATGTATAGATATTGGGCAGGAAAACATGGAATTTTTTCTGGCCATGGTGCTTTAATCATTACAAAAAAAAATCAATGAAGGATTCTTGTGCACTAAAGGGTTTTGTTTTTCCAGGAAAGAAAAAAAAAAAAAAGTAGCTTACATTTTGAAAGTGTTTCGGACACGTCGCTTATAACAAGCTTCGTAGAAACATCATCATAGAGCTTAGAATCAACCTCATCTTCTACGACCGTTGATCTGGCAACAATCTGACTCCACGTTGGAGTGTTTGAAGAGTGATTCACATCGAAATCGCATGCAACTTGTGCGTTTGGCAACATGGATTTAGACGTCTTTAATTGAATTTTTTTTTTTTTTTTTTACACATAAATGTTAAATGGAGCCATCTAATACGAAGCATTATAATATCATCTGACATTTAATAGACAAGAATCAAAAGCCTACAATATTTGCACTAAACTTATCATCACCGTTATCATTATCGAATAACATCACATCCAGTCCACCCACTGCAGAAGATATGTCTTGTGTTGAGAAGAGTGTATCACCCAACTAAAACGGTTTTATGATCCTTAGTATACACCAAAGAAAATTATATAATATTGACAAGAAAAAGATATCATACATTAAATATTGTGGCAGATTTTTGCAATTCATTTTTTATTTGATCTTTATGATTTTTATTTTTCTTAAGATTTTTCATAAATTCTTCATCCAGTCTATGTGCCCTAATTGCTCTGAAACTATGTATGCAAATAAAGATTTACTCAATAACACATAAAAGTAAATTTATTAATAATAAATAAACATACCTTCCAGGGCACTTCATACATTTTTGTTGATTACAAGCCCAAACATAAACTATCCTTTCATAAGGTGATTCTTCCAAAGGTATATAACTTTGGAACAATAAAAACATTTCTTTCTCACAATTTTTACAAATTATAAAATCATGTGGAGGTGGAAAAGATTTGATTAACCAATTTGGAATACCACCTATTTTACTTGAATATGGGTCAATATCCTCTTCGAGGACTATATTCCCATCTGGAAACCCTAAAAGAACTTGTGACATTTTAGGTGATGGCTTTTTAATCGATTGATTTTTAGTAGGGGTGGTAGTTAATTTGTTTGAATTAGAAACGACCGGAGATGAAATTTGCGAGCTATGATTATTTGATTTTCCGGGTTTGCATAAAGATTTTGGTTTTGTTGATGAGGATTTGACTACATTATGTGTTTTCAAATGTCGAGTTTTTTTTTTTGAATACATGTTTTTTATTGCATAAAAAAAAAAAATTTTTTTTTTTTTCCGATCTCGATCGACCGAAATTTATACCGTAATTTATTGTCACGTGCCATTACATCCATTCTTGATTTGCCCGCCCTTTTATTAGGGTGATCGCCATTATGTAACTATATAATTATATAAATGAAGATCCGAATTTACTGCGGGTAGGGATTATTAACCATAGCTGCCGCAACAAATTTGGACCGGCAGATCCTCGATTTTGATTGGCTAACGGCCGAGGATCTTCG